AATCTTTGTTCTATTGTTGTTTTTTAACTCTTTTCGTGTCAAGCTTTAAACCCGTTGTAGCTCAGCCATTTGTCTCTTCCACGCCGCGATTGCTTTCGTGCTTCGACCGCTTGCGTGCATTTGGCATGAAGTGGAAGTGGGTGATCTTGCCGTTCGTTTTGTTGTTGTTGTTCTCACTACGGGATGCTGACGGTGCCTCGCTTCTGCGTTTCACCCTGCTCTCCACGGGAAGACGACGGCTGTCGTGGGTGGTGCGAGGAGAATTTATTTCCCGCTTTTCATTCCACTTTGTGTGCGCGACCGTTCAAAACGAGGAAGCTTCCTTTTTTTTTCTTTTCTTTTTTTCCGGGGAGTTTGTCGTGTGCATCGCTGGGGCCGGGGCCGGGGGTGGGATAGGAGAAAACATTTTGGACGTTGCTGTTTCTACCTAGCCACCCTCCTTTTTTTTTTAATTTTTGATTTTCATTTTTCTTTTCTGGTGGTTGTTTAACTGGCCAAATTGCTGGGGCACGGGATTGCCGTGGTTTTATGGGCACGTGCCTACGACATCGCTTGGACTATTTGCTCCCCCCCTTTTTTTGTGCCGTCTGACGTTGTGCTGGTGCGAAAGCCGTAGTTGGGCGTACGATGAGCGGGGCGGCGGCAGCGAGGGAGCTCAGCGAGGCGAATGCGCTTGAGCCTTCCCCCCTTTCGCGGGATGGCGCGGAGGGGCTGCATGGGGATAGGGCCCCGCCGCCATCGCCGTTGCAGCTCCGTGGAGACCCGTGGCGGTACGTGGTGGGTTTAATCTTCTGCATCGTATCCGTTTCGAACGCCATGCAGTGGATCACGTTCTCCGCAATTGTAGAGGAGGTTCGCGCGTATTTTGGTATGAGTGCTGTGCAGGTGAATTATCTTGCTACAACGTACGTTATCGCCTATGTGTCTATCGTTTTTTTAAGCTGTAAACTCTACGAGGTAACTGGGTTGAAGGTGGGCGTCGCGATTGCCGCCTCGGCAAATGCCATTGGGTCTGCAATTAAACTTATTGCACTCTACCTATGGCCAAACATGATCCTCTTGTATGTGGCGCAGGTGTTTAATTCCGTCACCGAGGTCCTTACAATTGCCACCCCGCCGCTCATTGCGAATCGTTGGTTCCCGGAAGGCCAGCGGATGGTCGCCAACACCGTATTGAGTAGCGCCCTCAATTTCGGTTGCGGCATCGGGGTGTTGATTCCAACCTTCTTCGTTACACCGGAGAAGCGGGAGCGCAAGCACTTAGCGCACCTGTTTTGGTTTCAGTTTGCAATATGCGCCGGTATATTTCTTATGGCTATATTTTTTATTCCCTCGCGCCCTCGTTACATGGCAAGCTACGCCGCGGCACGACAGCAACACAATGAGGAGAAGCGTTTGGAGGCCGTTCGAGGCATTGTGCGACGTCGCAAAGTCCGAAGCGACGGTGGGCAGGTTCAACAACGGCAGGAAGATAAGGAACGAGAAGAAGAGGGGGAGACTGTTGTCTGTGAGGAACGTGATGCGCAGGATGTGCAACCCATCAATGTGTTTTCCACCATTATGGATGCCCTCCGCATGCTAAAGGGGAATCCCTCCTTTGCGTTTCTCATGATGGCCAGCGCGGCCGAACTTGGCCTTATATGGGCGGTCGCCACAGTTCTACCTCAGTGTTTGAGTCCGTTTGGCGTGTCAGAAGTAGAGAGTGGATGGATCGGCTTTTCAAATCTAGTCCTTGGCACAGTTGTGGCGCCGTTTTTCATGCCCCTCGTGGAGCGGAGGCGGCGGTACAAAACGGTACTGGTCTGCATTGCCATGATCCTCACTCTGAACATGTCTGTTCTAGTCCTCGCTCTGTCGTTTGGTCCACCTCCGCGTGATAACCGTACGTATTATGTTGCAGTGTCGTTTCTTCTTTGGGGCGGTGTAGCGGGCCTCTGCCAAAACTTCATGATGCCGCTTATGTTTGAGTTTGTTATCGAGCTTACCTTCCCAATGGCGGAGTCGACAAGTGCCCCCGTACTGACCTGGGCGGCCTGCCTATCGAACCTTATTTTAACTATCGTGTTTGGCAAAGTGCTTGGGAATGCTCCCACACGGGGCGAGGCACTGGATGTTTTTATAGGGGCAACAGTTGTCTGCTTTTTGGGGGGCCTCTCACTCTTGTTGGTGTACCCGTACCGACGAAGACGCGAGTATGAGCTTCTCATGAAGGAGAGGGATGAGACGTCGTCGGCCGTCGCCGCAGCAGCTTAGAAGGCAGTAAAGGGACACGGGGACTTGTGAAGGCGACTTTGAAGAAGCAGGAAACAGCAACAAAATGACGGATTGGGTGATGAAACCTTTGTGTTTGTTTGTTTGTTTGTTTTGTTGGTGCCTGTGTATACGTTTGCAGTAGCGCGTAGATGAATGACCTTGCGTGAGCGTCGGCCTTTTACTTGCCCCCTCGCACAGACACACGGGGACAGTAACAGATAAATATGCCGCTCCCAGAAAGGGGTCGCTTTTTGGAGGAGGTGAAATATTGACGGGTGGAAGAAAATAAGGCCGCAAAGACATAGGTGTGGATGCGTGCACTTTTCCTTCTCCTTCTCAGTGTGCTTGGCAATTTGTTTCCCTGCTTATGCCTTGCGTCCGTGCCCGTCTGCACCGACTACCGTGGCAAGGAATGAGCAACGTCTTTGTTTGAGGAGGGCTTGGCGATAGTCTAGTTCCCCTGCCCGCAGCGGCACGGGGGCGGGAAAGTCGCCTTGCTGCAGCTGGGGGCGCAGGAGAGGGAGGGCGTGTAGTTGCCGCATCGCCACGCACGCAGTCACACACAAGGCGTGTCGACTCCAACCTTCCTTTTCCTTTCCGTAGGTTTCTTTTTCCTCTTTCGGGTCGTTGTTTTTTTTTTTTGCTTTGGGTGCTTTTCTGTCATTCGTCCATGTGAAGCAAAATTAACGCCTTCTTTTGTTTCCTTTTACACGTCTGTGCGGGTGGATGGGAATTAACTGCTTTTCTTGGAGTGTGATGTTCTCTGGGGGGATCGTTATTATTATTATTTTCTTCTCTCTTTCTTCGTTTTGATGTTGCTCCTTTGCGCCTCCCCACGCAGTGCTGCCTCCTGCTGCGGAGGGAGCCGTCGGTGCAATAGATCTTTTCCCCAGGCACTGCGTGAGGGCGAGGTGCCGCATGCCGCAGGTATTGTTTTCTTCTCTCCCCCGCGTGGCGGAGGGCGTGTTGCGGCGGGACGAGGCGTTGCGCAATGAGGAGCAAAAGCGGGACGAAGACGCACCGGAGAGGATCGCCCACGGCAGCGACATGGACTTCTTCGTGGACGAATACGTTGGCGCAGAGGCAGCAGCAAGAAGGGCCGCGGCTTCCGGTAATTTCGCCGCTGCTGAGGCAACGATGCTCCCAAGTGGGGGCACGACGCAAGCTGCGCGGGCCCGCCCGCGGAACCAAGACAGTCTCGCTGTCGACTGTGAGGTCTGTCTGCAGCTCCGTGGAGCAACTGGCGAAGATGGTGGAGGGAATTTTCGCATTTGTGTCCCGGCGGCGCTGCCAACGTCTAGGCTCGCGGCGTCCTCAGCTGTGTCCCCCGTCAACGACTCCGTGCTGCCCCACGTGAAGCAAATGTGCGGCAAGAACGCCGTGTTGGAGGTGGAGGGGGCAACCGCCCCCGACTCGGGCGCCGCGTGGAGAGGGAACTGTGAGGGATGGACTGGGGATGGGGCCTGCGACGGGGAGGAGGATGCGGCTGCGGCCGTCTCTTCTGGAGATGCAATCAACGGCAATGCTCAGCAGGGATCAGTGCTAACAAAAACAATGTTTATGCAGGCCAATAACTCCGAAGGTTTACTAAGTGCGGACGATTTTGCGAATACTGTTGCTTCAGAAGAAAACGAAAGAGGAGCAGGAACAGGAGGAAACGTGGTGTATACGATGAAACTTGCACCCCGCTTCGTCTTTGGCCTAAGTTTGCCCTTTGAGGTGGAGCGGGCCCTCGTGGATTTCTGCCGAGAGAACGTGAGAGCCTCTCTACCACCTCCTGTATGGCTTTCCGCGTTCTTGTACACGACGACGCTGCGCTGTCACTCCTTCGCCGCCTCGATGGCCACCCTTTTCCCCTCGATGTGTCGAGCGAGGTTGGAAGAAACAACGGCAGTGGCTACACTAGAAGGCTTCTGCATTGTGGCTCTCAATATCATTGCCCAACTGGGGCATCTGCACCGACGACAACTCCAGGAAGCAGGCAACGTTGACGAAACAACGCTGGCTCAGTGTGGTTTGTTGCACGACAATGCCGTTTTCTCTTCTTCACAGAAGGAGCGGGTGCGGCGCTGGCTGCAACGGTATATCCCAATGGAGGCCTATGACGGAAATGAAGAAAGCGAGACAGTCTTGCGAGGTCCACCTGGTTGTGTTCGTTGGCCCTCTGCGGTGTCGATTGTCTTTCACATAGCCTTGGACCTCGCCAAGGTCTTGTTCCCTCCACTGTTACTGAATCTGGAGTCAACAATCCTCGCTGCGCTGCAGCCACTACTTGAAGCACGCTCGGTGGGGTCGATGCAGGCTCCCTCTGGTGATTCTTTCTTTGCCCCGTCGCTGCGGCGGCCACGGAGCCGCAGACAAGCCGTGATGTTGTTGACGCAAGAGCCCTCTTCGTGGTGGGGCTGGTGGCGTCGAGGCGACAGCGAAGGGAAGAGCAGTAACGACTGCGGCATCAGCGCCGTTTGCGCGTCAAGGGGATATGCCGCCCTTCGGGTGTTGCAATGCTTCACATTTATTTGCCCGCAAACAATGCCAGAGGGGTCTTGTAACCTCCTCAGCGAGGAAGAGGACTCGGAAGTGGCACATTTCCTCCTTTCGGCTGCGGCGCTCTTCACAGAACTGCTCTTGGACCGTGAGGTGACAACCACCCTTGGACGCGCCACGAAGGAGCTCACGCGGCTTTACTACTGGCCCTTGGGAGGGCCTAATGGCAAGCAAGCAGGTGCGTGGCCGTTGCAGGCAACCCGGGCCCTGATGCGCTGCTTTATTGTTCTTGTCTGTTGGTTCGCCTTCCGCCCCAGCGGTTATTGCGCGAAATTCGCCCAACAACATTTTGGCTCGCTCTTGCACCTCGCCGCCTTGTACCGTGAACGGCATCCGCCAACGCATCCCCAGAGCGAAGAAGTTGAAGAAGGGGGAGAAAAATTGGGCCGTGCTCAGCTGCTGCTGACGGTTTGCAGTCAGGACTATTTTTCATCACTCTCCACGTTGCTTTGCCGTCTGCGTGAACAATGCGGCGTCCGACGCCGCGGCGGCCAGTGCCCACGCACAGCACGGGAAAATCCATGGCAGCAGCTGCAGCAAGGCAAGATGCCAAGCCGCCTGCCTCCAACTGAGGAAGACCGGACGACAAACACTTCGCACAGTCGTTTTTCCGCGGCTTCCCTTAGCGTCACGAATGCCGCGCCGGAAGTTGTGCTTGCGCCTCAGCTTTTAACAACGCAAAGCGATGCGGCCCCTCTTGGTAATGATGCGGTTCCGTCGCATTTACGTCATAAGCTTCGGCGTGTGATTCGTGAAATTCGTCCCGTGCTTCGTCAACTTGAGCGGGACGTGTTTGCGAAGTACGGGACATCGGCTCCAACTCCGCTTGGCTCCAAACGACAACGCGAGGCGGAGGGCTCCGTCTCTTCACCTTTGCAGCGTCGCGAGGGTGGACTGCAACTTGTCGTATCGCCTCAGTTCGAGCGTCACGCGTACAGTCAGCCAGACAGCCGTTTATGGGAGTGGCAGTTGGAATGCAGCGAGTCCAGTGACGACGATGCAACAGACACCTCTGGCAGCGGGAGCGGATGACAGAGAGACAAGCATCGACACAGAGAAGAGAGAAAGACTGGAAACGGTCGAGAGCAGAGTATATATATATATTTTTGGTTTCTGTGGTTTTTAATGCTGGTGGAGAGAGAACGCCCGAAAAGCTTGGGCTTGCGGAAGGATAGTTGGGGTAAAGCATAAATACACACATAGACATCTATCAATGTGTGTAGTTTTGAGGCTTCTTTTCTATTCTGCCTTCTCCGCGGCACAGACGTAGACTGATAATGCATATATTTGATTTCTGGGTTTGTAACGGCGTGGGTGCATGTTTGTTTTCTTTCCTTACTTTTACTCATTCCCCATTTTGTTGCTTCTGTTTTTCTTTTGTTTTGCTCTTGTATGTGTGTGTTTGTCACCCACGTAAGAGGATTCATTTTTTTTTTATTTGGCGCCAGTCTGCGTTTCGTTGCGTGCGCCTTTGCGCTCCTGCGTTATGCCCACAGAGTGCAATGGGAATTCGCTTTGGTGCGCGTTGGTGAAGCCGCGAAGTGGGTGGTTCGACTCATCCTGCGCCTTCCCCTTTTGTCTCGTCCTGTTTTTTTTTTGAGCTTTCTTTCCGTGTGTCTTTCCCTTTCTGTGTGTGTGCGTGCGTGTCATCGCGTCTCTCCTGTTGTCTCTGCTGCTGTTGAATTCGCAAAGGGATTCCGTGGGTAGTGATGGCCGCCAAGGTTGACACGAACGACACGCTGGCGTGCACTTACGCCTGTCTTATGCTCAACGACGCCGGCTTGCCCATCACGGCGGAGAGCATCGAGGCTGCGTGCACCGCGGCTGGTCTGGAGGTGCGCAACACCCTGCCTATCCTTTTCGCTCGCTTCCTCGAGAAGAAGCCGCTGGAGAGCCTCCTCGCCGTCGCTGCGGCGGCGGCCCCCGCCGAGGGCGCCGCGGCTGCTGCCGCCGCAGGTGGTGCTGCCCCCGCTGCCGCCGCCGCCGCCGCCGCCCCTGCAAAGGAGGAAAAGGAGGAGGAGGACGACGACGACATGGGCTTTGGCCTCTTCGACTAGGCGTGCGTTTCTCTGAATAAGGGACAAACGACTCGTGAATGCCGATTTGCACCTTTTTTTTCCCCCAGTTCCCTTGTAATTTCATATATATATATATAGTTTTTTTCTTATCTTCAAAGATCACGTGCCTATTTTGGGGTGAGTTGCGCCCTCTGGCTTACTTCCCGCCGTTTGGATTGGCTTTATTTGCCTGTGTGCGTGTGTCTCTTTCTGCAGGCCGACGGTTTTCCTTCCTTTTCTCCTATTTTCTGTGCTTTGCATTTCTGCTTCTGCAGATCTCATTCGTGTGTTCACTCACCCATAAGATCCATGGCCGCCAAGGTTGACACGAACGATACGCTGGCGTGCACTTACGCCTGTCTTATGCTCAACGACGCCGGCTTGCCCATCACGGCGGAGAGCATCGAGGCTGCGTGCACCGCGGCTGGTCTGGAGGTGCGCAACACCCTGCCTATCCTTTTCGCTCGCTTCCTCGAGAAGAAGCCGCTGGAGAGCCTCCTCGCCGTCGCTGCGGCGGCGGCCCCCGCCGAGGGCGCCGCGGCTGCTGCCGCCGCAGGTGGTGCTGCCCCCGCTGCCGCCGCCGCCGCCGCCGCCCCTGCAAAGGAGGAGAAGGAGGAGGAGGACGACGACGACATGGGCTTTGGCCTCTTCGACTAGGCGTGCGTTTATACCAGGCGTCTCTATGTGAGCACCACGATGCTGAATCTGTACCACTGAGTTTTTGATTTTCTTCCTTTTTATTTACTTTTGTTAGAAATGACTCTTGTAGTGCCGTTTATGCTTTTTTTATGTTGTTGTTTTTGTTCTTGGGCCGCGTATTCCTTCTTGCTAAAGGCATGCCTCTGCTTTTTTTTCCTGCTTATTTATTTGCCTGAGCTTGCGCACTCTCACGCGCTGTGACTGCGGCTGCCCCGTGCAGGTGCTCCCCAAGTCGTCCACTCCGAGGCGAAGAACAAAAATAAACAGGTCCTCCTCGCAAATTATATTGCCAGTCTTCAGGCTTTTATTTATACGGCGGCGTCTGTGAGTGGGGTGGGGGGAACTTCGCTGCGTGCGCGTCGTTGCACCGAGTTGGGGAAAACATATATATATATATACACACACACACACAGAGAGCACACACGCAGGCAAATGCAGCACGTGAGACGCCTGGAGAAATGTATCAAGCGCTGCGAAGATGACATGGAGCGCGTCAACGCCGTGGTGAAAAGTTCTGACTGCTCCATCGCGGAAAATGGGTCGGCGTGGCAACTGTGGGAAACCCTCGAGACGGACGAGGCCGCGCTGGTGCACGTACTGGCGGTCTGTGATACATTTATTCACAGCTGTCGCTTTCGAGTGATGTGTCTTTTTTCCCAGGGGAACGAGATCTTGGCGCAGATGCAGCTTGCAAAGCAGCGGCTTCTCAGATGTTTCAGCTCCGTCGCATCCAAACAGGGGAAGGGAGGAACGACAACCGCAGCGTCTGGCAGTAGTGCCGATGCGGGTGAGTCGGCAACCATAACCCAACTTGTGAGCGGGGCCCCAAGGCTTCTCTGCGAATTGCGAGATCGGGAGCAGCAGCTCATTGACAACGCCTTGATGATTAAGAGGGACGTGTTTCACTCGTCGCGCGGAGAAGGCGATGTCATGTTGGAACTTCACGCTCAGCAAGAAGGCAGCCCCAGGGGAATGACGCCTGAATCGCTGCTGCACATTTTTCCACTGTTTCCGGAGGATGCGGCAAGGGAGACGCATGCGGGGACAGCCGCAGCAGCGTTGAAGAACGAGCACGGCGTTGGACCGTCGTCGCCGACGGGGGAGGCGGATACAATTTGGACGGACTTGCGGCTGATGAACATCTCCCTCAGAAGCGCTTTTGCTGCAGCAGCATGTAAACACCACTTTGCGGCCGCCTACGACTTCGCCTTCGTGACTAAGCTGGTCGTCACGAAATGCTTCACCGCGGAGGAGTTGCTGATGACAGTTTTGGCGCTGGAATCCGGCAGATCAGGAGATTCTTCTCCGCAACACGATGTACAAAGTTCGGAAGGGGCGACCTCGCCCTGGGTTGCTTTGATGTTGTCCGACCTTCACGCCAACGTCTTGCCCAAGGAGGCGTTTTTGACACGCGAGAATCTGACACCGCCGTATTATGTTTCTCTCATTTTCGCCTCACTGGTTTGGAACACCGCCTTTTGTTTGTGGCAGAAAGGCTGCGTGAAGGAGGCCCACCAGTGGTTGTGCGAGGTTGACGTGGAGCGGCTCCTTGTCCTTGCAGCCGCGAAGGAAAAGGAGGATGCGGGCGCAGACGTGAATGGCATACACGGTCTACATACACGGCGCCATGTCATGAAATATTGCCTGCGGCCATCCTTGGAGACATGCATGACCCCATCCCACCCTGGTACGTCAACCCACGTCGATGAGAGCTGCACCCCAAAGGAATTGCAGGACGAGCCTCACGAGGCCCCTCAGATCCATCACCTTCTGCGCCGCATTGTGGCCTTGCGTGAAGTGTGCGCCATGCTGCTTTCATGCACCACTCCACAAGACGTCTTGTTTCTCATCCTCCAGATGCAGCATGCACTTCGGTGGCAAATGCGTTGTAGCCTGCACCAAGATGACCCTGTGGGCGCCGGCGAAGACGTCCCTACAACCGGAGGGTCGCCGACCGATGCAACGGCTGAGGCGCTAACTGTGGTTGTGCTCATCGTAGAATACTACCTCACCCAACGTGCGATGGCGACGGTGGAGGCGTCCGCCTCGTCGGATGCCTTTTTGCCCGTGACCGTTGATGCGGCGGTGCAGCAGGCCTGCGATGAGCTGATTTACTTCCTCAGCTCGGGGAGATTGACGGGCGTGGAAGACGTGGAGCAGCGTGGCATTCCGCCCTCGTGGCACCTTCAGTACGACGGCGACGACAAACACGATGCGCGGGGGGATGACCCCGAAAGGGCAAAGAGGCCGCCGTGGCTCTCGGTGCAAGTTCTTGGCACGGCGCAGGCCTTTGCCTCTGGATTCCACGGTAGCGTGTTCTACCAGTGTGCTGTGGCAGCCCATGAAACAAGGGCGGTAAGGCGCGAGGCGCAAAGGGAGGCGGCTAAGCCAGCAGAGAGGCGATCGTCATGGTCGGCCTCGCTTGCTAATATGGTGCAGAGTGCGGCTCGGTTGATTATTAAAGGTGTCGGTAGCTCGTGGGAGGAGGTTGAAGACGCCGGGACCGCGAGCAACTTTTCTTCCTCGTGTAGTGAACTGCGTCCAAGTCGGTTGGTGCCCCAATGCTTCAAGGAGAAGCAATATTTGCGGGCGAAACAAGGAACGGGTATTCTTTGGATTCCCTCTTTGCATGGCGTCGGTGTACAGTTATTACCAGAGGAAGAGGTGGTTGAGGGCCCATACAAAGGTTTTGATGATGTGGCGTGGCGACTGCTGGTGGTGGCATGCCGATATAGCAATTCTCAGTCGCTTGTGTCGTTGACGTCTCACGATGGCGCGCGTAGTGGCGGCGGGCCCCTTGAGATGGTTGTCCCGGAACTCAACAATGCCGTGAGAATTTTAATGAGCAACCTGAACAATCGTGCCGGGGACAGGTGGTGGCCGTTGTGGCATCAGCAGCGAAACCTAAGTGCGGGTCGCGCACGCATCGGTAGGCTGCTAGAAGCGCTGGATCGAGGGACGTACATGTCGGTGATGCGGGCTGGCCTGCGACGCGCCACTGCGGATGACGGAGCCCAAGGGAACAGGGCCCCACAACCGGCCGCGGCATCGAAGAAGAGTGAAGATGTCGTGAAGGAGCATACGGGCGAGGAAACGGAAGCCGTTTCTGGGCTGTGGGATTTTCCGCCCCCAAAGTATATCCCGCCCCTTCAGTTTGACTTCTCAGCTTTTGCTTCTGGTTCCGCGCAGGCATTCTGGGCAACGCAGCAACTTGTAGAGGATCTTTCACGCCGGCAGAACGCGGCAGATAAGGCCGCTTCTACTGGCAATGAGACGCCGGCTGAGGATAACAGCCAGTCCTTAAGCCTTCTCACGACAAGGTCGCGACATCTTCTTCACCAGGCGTTGCCGGGCATATGGCAGTTTATGCCCTGGAAACTTATTTACAGCAGTCGTTTTCATGGATTTAGCTTTACCAACATGCTGTCGTGTAGCCAACGCGTGGTTGATGCTGCCCGGAGACGGAAGAATATGCCACCCATGCTTCTTGTAATGGAAGTTGTGAGCCCAAACGGAGGAGCATCCATCGATAGCACAGAGGGGCCCGTGAGGCTTGTGATTGGGGCATTTTTATCCCATCCCTTGCATGTTGGTACGCACCGCTTTTACGGCAACAGTGATACGTTTGTGTTTCAGCTGCTAATTTCCTCGACACCGGCGTCCACGGAGCTGCGTGTGTACCGTGCCACAGGAAAAAATCAACAATTCATCAAAACAACTTCGCGTTCACTTGCGGTTGGAGGCGGTGGGGGGTGTAGTGTTTTTCTCAATAACACTGTAACGCATGGTTCCACTGCAGCTTGTGTCACCTTCGATGCCCCACCCCTCACGCAGTGGCACACACCACCCTTTTCCTTGTCGTGGTCCTTCGATAGAGCCTCCGTGGCGGCGGCGGGGGAAGCGATGGAGAAGGATGCGGCGAGGAGCTACGCCTTTGATATTCGCTCAATAGAGCTGCTAGTAGTTGGGGAACCGAAGGAACCCTAGAGTCTGCTGCTGGGGTGCGCGGTTTTTCAGGTTCGTATTGCGTTTTTATTTTTATTTTTATTTTTCTTCTGTTTTCTCCCTGTTGTTGTTTTCTTTTTTCATTCATGCTTGGTTTTATTCATGGCTTTGCGTGTATCTGCGTATACGAGCGGTTCAACTGCAACTCCGGTGACGATTAGTTTTGTGTTGTTCGTTCCCCCTCTCCTCTCCTCTCCTCCCTCTACTAACACACACACACACACACACACACTTTTTTTTGTTGTTGTTGTGGCTATTGTTTTTTTTTTCGAGAGCGAAATTTGTCGTGGCGCTTCACCGTTTTTTTTTTTCTTTTCCTCTTCTAAAGTATCTTTTGGCGTACGTGAGCACACACGTATGCGTATGTGAAGTTGTGGCCCTATATGCGTTTTTCATGTGTTGCTTCTTCTGGGGCGCAATCCCACGGCAAGGCAAAATCACGTGCTCCATGGGGCCCTGCGCGGGGAAGATGCACTCTTTACGCACTTGCACGGGCGTGTAAGTGTAGTTAGTTGGCGGTTCCATGGAGACGGAACTACTCACTATGTGGAAAAGAAAAGAAAAAAAATTCCTTCCCCCTGTTTCTTCCTTGCTTGTTCGTTGCATTTGCCTTGCGGTGCCTCTGCCGCATACGAGCAGCTGCCTCTGCTCCCTTCACGCATCTCTTGCTCCTCTCCCGCCCTTTCGTTTCTCTTTGTCTAGGCACTTCACACGCATCCAGGCTTCTTTAGTAGGCGAGGAGGAGAAAATTCAGGGACGGGGACAGGAACGAACCGGCGAAGCGACAAGAAAGAAAGAGAAGGAAGAAGAAACGAACGCTACGTTCATAGAAACCCGAAAGAAAGAAAGAAAAAGTCTGTCGTAAGGCCGAGGAAAACAAAAAAAAAGAAGAACGGTAAGGACACCTACCTTTACAGTTTTATATACAGTGACACGTGTAGGCAGCTACAAGTGCATTGCCTTCTGTGTGTGTGTGTACATATATAGATAACTGCGAAGGCAAAGTACGCATCACACAAAGAGAAGGGAGAAAAAGGTAGAATAAGTGCATCTTCTTTGTACGCTTCCAGACTACCTCTAGATATCCATCGTTCTTGGTTCATTACACACCCCACGTACCCCCCGGACAAGCCCCACCTCCAGCCCTAAGTTGCCGCGACGAGAGGAAACGAATACTTGAGAAAAATACATATATTATTGTGACCTACGGCATAAAGACGTGTGAGACTGTTTTTTTTTACAGATTATTATTATTATTGTGTGTGTGTGCGTGTTTCGTCGTGCCCGTGAGTGTGCGGGATTTGCTGGTTCTTATTGACCACACTGCGCGCGGCTTTCCGAGAAGACGATGACACTTGTGGAGACCACTGCGCCTGCTTTCGCTGCGACTTCGCGACGACATGTGAACCGCACAGTTGCCCAGCATCCAAGTGGCGATAGCGGCAACGGTCACATGCACCAAGCGGGCCACCATGACGCGTGTCTCCAGCAAGGGCGGGCCCTGCTGCCGTTGACAGCACAGACCTCGGGTGAGGGATCGGGCAACTACGCCCTGCAGCCACCTATTGCTCTTCTCTCGTGCCGCTGCCGCCGGGACCCGGCGGTGATGCGTCTGCAGGCTGCTCTGGCGCATGGAGAGCCGTGGAGCTCTGACAACGGAAGCCCAGAAGCGCAAGCACCGTCGTCGGAGGCGACAAACTCAGCTGCAACTGCAAAAAGTAGTTTTTCCTTTGGCTACGACGATGATGCAGTTTCTTCTTTTCCCTCCACACCGGATTGCGGCTCAACAGCTTGTTTTTCGCAGCGTGCAAAATCCCCGGCGTCGCTGTCGGCGACATCTTCAGCCGTGTTGACTTCAGGATGCGAGAGTAGTGATTCTTCATCAGCGGTGGAAGCCACGGTTGCGGCGAACAACCGCCCTTCTACGAACTGCTACTGGGCGTCAAGGCGGCAGCAGGGTATAGTAGAAAGACAAGAAGGGTTGTTGCAAACACCGCACGATGAAGAAACTAATGAACGTCCGCAGACTCCGTTGTTTGGGTTTGTCCCCAAGGCAGCTGCACTCCAAGACGCGGGGAGTGGCATGAGACGCAGCGGGAGTCGCGTCCGTGGTGTGCCCATGAATTCTTCTTTTTCTTCCTCTGCTGCTGCTGCTGCCGCCGCCGCCGCCGCCGCTTGGGAAGTAGGCGACAGAACACCCAAAAATGACGAAGACGCCGCCTTGTCGCAACACGAGGAGGACGAGGTCTTGGGCGTTACGGCGGAGGGAGAGTTTATCTACCGACGCGACGTCGACGCGGAACGGGGTCGTTTGGGTAAAAACAAACACCAAAGCTGTCTTGGTGGGCCTCTTTTTCCGGATGAATGCAGCGATGACGAGGCGTCGTGTGTGCTCCCTGCCACGGCCCCTTTTTGTACACCAGAGAAGAGCATATTTGCTACGGCCCTCAGTGGCAGGGCACGTGTACCACACCGGCATGGGGAAAGGGCCGGGACTTGGAGAGGCATGACCGCCACACACCCAACTGCGCCGTTGCAATCCGACGCGACAGTGCCCCAGCGGGGTTCTAGCGCAACACACAGTCAGCGAAAAACTACAAGGTGGAGAACAAGTGATGTGGAGTGGTGTTCTCTCCTACTGCAATACCGCACCTGTGAAAACGCCGACGAGGCGCAGTACAAGAAGTTGATAGATGCGGTGAATAACTGGCATGAGGCACGGCGTCGTTACCCTATTGAGGCATTAGAGCGCCGTTTGCTGGAAGGAGACAGTTATGACAGGCCCCCGTTCATTCTCCGGTGGTAATTGCTTAGGAAAGAAGCAGAGAGGAGCCATACAGCACAGATACACAAGCAAAGGACAAAGAAGTTAAAGAAGCGTGGAGTTTAATCCTTTTTTGTTCCTTTGCTTCTGGTTTAGTGTTTATTTTTCTTGTTCCTTTTTTTTTTGCTTCTTTTTTCCTTCTACTTTTATTTTCTTCCTTTGGGTTCTTGCTCTTCTACGAGCTTCATCTTACCCTTTGTTCTTTTTTATTATTTGTTTGAACTGCTGCGGGGTGGTGGGCAGGTGGTGTTCTTAGTTTTGCCCACTCCTGTTTGTGCACGCGCGCCACCGCCGCCACCGCCACCGCCGCAGGATCAAACACCTAACACGTTTTCCCTACCCTTGATTAACTTATTTGTTGTTGTTGTCTTGGCAACTGCTGTGGCTGCAGCTGCAGCTGCTATGTATGTGTGTATGCGTGTTTTGCCCTTACTGCAGGCGCTTTTTGACGCATACTTGCATTTCCCTCACTACCACCACCATCGTCCGCTTTTAGAACGGCACCGTTATCACCGCGGCATTTGCTCCTCCTTCTGCACTAACGCTGGATATTTCATCCTCTTTTTCTTGCCCTATCCCTTCTGTTGTGTGATTCCCTTTTCCCACGCTTCTTATTGCGTTTTGGTCGCCGCTCGTTTCGGGCGTACAATTCCTCCGCGACCACGTCTTTGCTATTCTCTTGTGTGGGGGTCGAACCGGGAGGGCGAGGAGGAACCACAACGTACGCCATGGGGGACAGAACAAAAGCAATAAATACGAGAAGAGAGCAATGCGAGGTGGATCTATAGAGCGTGCGTTCGTTTAATTTTAATAGGCATCGCATTCATCACATGTTTTATTTTTCCACGCCTTTTCCTTTTTATGTATGTCTTGTTACTCTTAATATTGCTGCTGTGCTTGCTGCCCTCTCGTCGAGACGTAGCCCTGATCGTCGAGGATGGTGTTGACGATGATGCTCCGCGACAGAGAGTAGTGAGGGTAGACAGTTTTAACTGCGATGGGGCGGTACTTTGGTGGTGGGGGTGAGGGGAGAGGCTGGCAAAACTTGCAGAGCGACAAACAACGGTGCCGCACACACACACACACACACACACACACAGGAAAAAGGGAAGCCATTTATCTCTTGCTCAGTACAAATTCGCACTTAAAAATCATGTGCCGTATTATTTGCAGGCAGCATGCGTCAGATGAGGGAGATGAAGTGCATAAGTGGCAAGTCAGAGAACAAATAAAAAAAACGCAATAACGTTTTCGCTCAATTTTTTTTTTATTTGACTGGGCGGAGGTCTGTTTTGTGGTGATGCGGCGTGCTACTGCTTACCTTCCTTTGAGTTGTTGTTGTGTTTTTTCTCGTCAGACTGAGGCAGACGCGCATAGAGGGAGTGAAAAAAAGAAAGAGCAGAAGAGAATATGAGTTGCATGCGTATCCATAAGAGACTTGTGGCATTGGGGACTTTACTGGGCATGGAATGAGAGGCCCGCACCTCAGTTGGTTTTGTATGTATGTGTTTTTATCTTCTCTCTGCCGATTTCTCATTCCTCGTATTGTTAAGTCTTATATGAGGGCGTTTTGCCTTGTATGTATGGATGCAGATTGACAGATGCCCACTTATCTGTATACATACATGCATACGTCTAACGTTGGTGCTCACATTTTTTTTTTCAGATTAGGGGGAGGGGGGCTGTGAAGACGCTGTGCTCAATGATTGTGGCTGTTTTTCCCCACACATCTCTAGAAGCCCCACCTCCTTTTTTGTTTTTCTTAATTGTTACTTTTTCATATATATATTTTTTGTTTCGTTTTTGGCGTGTGGGACTTTTTCCCGCTTTTCTCTGCGGCATTTTGTGTTTGTCGTTGTACCAAAAAAGAAGAAGAAATAAAAGGCGTTATGAGGAGATCTCTGTCGCATCGTGTTTTGTGTACCTGAAACGAAGAGAGGTAGAGAGGCTGGTGATAATGAGTACTTGTTCTCCACAACGTGATAGAGTGATGAATGGCGAGAAAAGAAAAATATATGCTCTCATGGGTTTTTTTTCCCTCCCTTTTGTATCCCGATTTGTTTGTTTTCTTCCTTCTGTGTTTGTACTTTTTTTTTTCTTTATTTCTCCTTCTCTCCCTGCCCCCGCGCTGCTGTTGATCAGAGTGGTCTCCCTCCTCCATACATTATTTTTGTTGTTGTTGTTCTTGCTTTTTTTTTCGTTTTTATTTATTTGGGAGGGGCCTTCAACGCTTTTTGAACAGTTGTTGCTGTTCCTTTGCGTTGCGCCCAACGTTTAACGCCTGTCGATGATACGACACGTACGCACACGCGCTTGCATGTCCTTCCCACTTCGACCAGCGAGTGCCGTTGGTGCGTGACATCGCCCTTAACATCGGCGGGATGCCGCATGTGCTTCATGCCCCTTCTCTTCTGGGGTGTGTCATGGTTCGTGCGCGCTCTTTCTTTTCAGCGTCGTCTGTCTGTGTGCGTGTGCGTTCGTTTGAATGAAGCTGAGGCATGAAGTTTTTTTCTGTGTGTGGTGTGTGTACTTGCAATTTCCTCGGCCTTTCGAAGAAGGAACGTTTTTTTTCTCTAAGTTTTCCGTGGCTGACGTGTGCGCGTAGAAGGGGAGGCGGTGGGAATTACCTGCCGTAGCTGGAAGTTTTCTGTGGTCTTCGTCATTCGCACCAGCTTTTTCTTCGCGGGAGTGTTTTTATGCCTGGGCACTCCGTGGGAATGCCTAAGCCCGCATAACTTTGCCATCCCATAGCTTTTACTTGCGTGCCCGCTGCCGGAGGAAGTTTGTTTATATATACATATAGAAATAATAACAATAAGGATAACACCTAATGCGTGGTAGAAGAGGAACTTTCTTCTTGGGCAAAAAAAAAGGAAAAAACAGCACCGCCAAAGTTGCAGCTTCTTCTCTGAATTGGGGCTAGTGCGCGATGCTTCAGCGCGTATTAAAATTCACTGCACGCAAATGTTCCCTCCCCCCCTCCCCCTCCTCCTTTCCTAGATGTCTACAAGCCTTTATGTTTACTTCCCCACATAGTGTTGTGTTTCTTGTATGTTTTTTTCTTCTGAGTGTTCCTGCCTGAGCGTCTTGCGGGTTCCGCTTCTTGTCGTGTGAAACATGGCCACCGTCATTTGAAGCCCCGCCAGAGAAGCAGAGCCATACCTTATATATATATATTCAGCTCCCCAGTTGTGAGTGTTGGTGTTCAAGCGTGTGTGTTGGAGCCAACGGCTTTAACCTGGGTGGTAGCAAAACTGTCCTTCCCAGAGTAGAAACGGGGCGGGGGTGGTGGGTGACGTCTCGCACAGAGTTAGAGGGGCGCTGGAGAGGATGAAAGAAAATATATTTTTGTTACACAGAAATGAAGAGAGGGGGAGGAACTCCCTCGCGTCGCCGTTTGGGGTGGAAAGGGGGGTGGCGAATGCCTGTAATGGAAATGGCAACCCAACGGCGGCACGGTGAGCAAGTAGGGACTGTTGTTGGCAAATCTTCTCGCCCACTCTCCCGCCTTTCTCCCTCTTGTTTGCTGGATCGGTAGCTTTCCTTTTGCATTTCCGCACCCTGCCGGTTTCTTCCTTCTGTGCATGTATTGCATAAACATAGAATGCGGCAAAACTGTGACGTGTGTTTGTTGCCGGTTTTTTTTTTGCTTTGTTGTACCACACGGTGTAGATTACGGTACGAACCACAGATGACCATCTGAATACTTCTTCCTTTTCTTTTTCGTCTTTATTCTGAATTCTTTTCGTGACGTGGCGCGTGGTGTCGGCGCCGCCTCCGCCACCACCAGCCCCTCCAATGACAGTTCTTTATTTTTCTTCCGTTTACCGCGAGGGGACTTTTGCGGCGCGGCACGCGGTGTTCCTGTGCAGTTTCTTTCTTTTTTGTGTCCGTCCCCGCCGTCTCTTCTTGCCCCGTCGTGGCGCTCACAGGCCGAAGTTTTCCTGCCATTGCCGCCTCCACGTCCGCTGCGAGGGCGCTGGAGAACCAGCGGCGCGAGGAAACTGTTAGGCCCTCGGGGACGAGGCAGAACTCGCACGCGGCGGCAAAGCAGAATTTGTGGGCCCCTTAGTGGCCCTCTGAACGGGTTCGAAACGAAGGGTTAAAGCAATGCCGGAGTTTGCGCGTCAAGGCGTGGATGTGGTTGACGGTGTGTGTGTGTTTTTCCCCCTTTTTTTTGTTGTGGCATCCGCTTATGCATAACCTCCCTTGCCCTTCCTGCTGGAAGGGAACGCATCTGGAAGGAAGAAAATTAAACGGGAAATTAAAATAAAACAAAGGAATAAAAGAGGGGCGTTGCGAAACAAAATACGGAACAGACGATGGAGAAGGACATGGGGTGCAAGATTTCCGTTGTACACCGCATACATGCATGTGAATGTTGGGTTGTGTATGAGCCATTTAGATTGAATCTCATTGTATTGGGAAAATGACCGTTGCTATGGCGTGTATGCCTGCCTCCCCACTCAGGGGTTTGGTAACAGTTTGCTGCCACCTCACTTTCTCTCTCTCTCTCTGCGTATACAATTCTTTCTACATTGGAGTTTGTTTCACTTCTTCCTCTTTTTTTTTGTCCCTTTTAAAGTTTTCCCTCCTTTTATTTGCGTTGTCTTCGCTTAGGTTTGGTTTAGAGAAGCGAAGAGGACACAAAGTGGTGCCTCTTCTCTGTGCTCGACTCATTGCAGAAATGCGGGTCCTCAGTCCTCCCAACGCACCACCATGTTTTTCTCGGTTTCTTCTGACACAACTGCTTATTCTTTTGTTTGCATGCCGCATGGGGACTGCGGAGCCGCTGCCGGACTGTCGTGACGTGGGGCTGTTTCGCGCACAAGCGCAAGGTGCAGCCGCGCCCAACGCGACCACTCCAGAGGCGACAGATGGAGACACCAACTTCACATGTCTGCTTCGCTCTGGGACGGCCGTGGTGGCGCTGCTGGGCTCAGCGGAGGGAAACTATTTAAGTCCCCTGCGAGACCCCGTGCGGTTCGCCGTGCCGCGTGCTTCTCCCGCGGCAACGAAGTTGGACAATAGTCGAGTTGCATCATTTCTTCTTAGGGTACGGCAAACTTTATCTCGGTTTTCTGCCTTTCCATGGGGCGATCCAGCCGCCGTGGAGCGCTTCTTCTTTCGGCGTCGGTTCCGAGTTGCTTTTGAGATAGATGCTTCTCCAGGTGGAATGACAAGTCGCAACCAACTCCTTAGTCGGGCAGTCTTTGATCGCATTCGCGCCACTTCCTTTGCACCCACAGCGGAGTTGGTAGGAAAAACGGGGAATAGCTCTGTCGGAGAGGTTCGACTTGGCTGCAACTTTGATAAAATGCTAGAAACGTATCAAGGTGTTTCCAAGACTCCGTCGCTCATTTCGCGGATGGTCAGCGAGGGTGGCTTCGGCGTCCTGCTTTCCGTTTTATTTGGTGGTAATGGCTTTGCTAATACTATTAGCAGTACGGCTAGGAATAGTGGGGAAGCGTCTTCCGGGGTTTTGTCGTCTGCCGAACTTGGGACGGCGTACGTTTTCGAGGAACTTGGCCCAAACGGGAGAAGCAGCCGGTGGTTGCCATCGTGGGTGGCGGCGTGGCTGGGCACTCGGCCCATGGCATCCACAGAAGCACTCTTGCGTGGAACAGAAGGCCGGCACCAGTTCGCGTACGAAGTTGAATTGCCTGTCGCAAGTCCAGTATGTCTTCGTCTGGCGGCTGCCCATGCTCAAGGGCTTTCGCTGCACGTAGAGGAAACCCTTGTGTTTGATATTTTTTGGTTAAAGGTTATGCTTCTTCTGTGCTTAATCTGGTTCTTGCAACCCTGGGTAGAAGATGTTCCGGCCTTTCAGATATTACTCGCTGGCGTAGGCGGAATCATTGTCCTGGTGGGGTTTTTGCTCATCTTCCTCTTTCGGAAGCTGCAGAATATGACACTGGGGAAAATTGGTCTTTTAGCACTTGTAACGATGGGTGGTTTCTCTGCGCTTGCCGAAAGTCTTTTGAGTGCGTACGCCGCTTTTATTTACTCCTATTTTAACTACGACGAGAATTCGGACCTGATTTTCCACCTCACGTGTGTGCTTCTTGTGATTGGCTTGGCCTGTGGCCTCTTTGCCAAGTTTTTCTGGGCGAGCTATCTTTTTTCACTGACACGATGGACGCTGCGGTGGACCCAATTTGGGGTCATCGCATGTGCCGCGATGCAGAACCGTGAGGCAACACTTCTCTTTCTTGTGGTGGCCTTTGCCTTCTACCCGCCCAGGCTGCTCCGGTTCATACTGTGGTGCTCGCGGTCGTACGAGCTGGAGAACCGAGAGAACGAACCACAGGAGAGTTTTCCCGGCTCCGCGAGGCGCGAGGTGGCGTACGCGCCGCCTCTGTGTGTTGAGGGCTTCATTGGCGGCTCTCGGGCGCTTAGCTCGGAGGAGAAGCTTCGCCTGTACGACGCCCTCGGGAACGAATACACGCAGCGTGCCCTTGCGCATCTTGCGGACGCCGTGAAGGAGGATCCCAGGCGGTATGCGTCACGCCTGAAGAATCCCAAGGAAGTCATGAATTGGGCACGACACTACAAGTAGCCTTTTTTCCTCTTGCCACACGCCATGATTGGCCGTAGCGCGTCAAACCTTCCGTTTCCCCATTATACGATGAGGCAGTTAAGGGTAGACTTCAAGGGTAAGTTTAGAGATTGTCCTCGTTGTTGTTGTTGTTGTTGTTGTTGTTGTTGTTGTTGCTTTATTCGCTCTCTTTGTATGCGCGTGTGTGTTTGCCTCTAGATACACAGTTTAAATATATGTGTGTGTGTGTGAATGAATGAAGTACATAAAATAAGAGGAGTGTTTATTTACATGTAGGGTAATGCTGAGAAGAAGTTTTAAAGTGACAAAAAAGAAGAACCAACAGCGCTGC